GCTGTGTTCCTAATAAATGTCCATTGTTAATGTAATGGAAGCCATGAGTATTTTGTAGACAAAATTCAAAAACTACTTGTTTAATAATGGATAGAATAAGGCTAGGGATATAGCTCAGTAACAGAGCACTTAACTCTGCTCAGTTGCCAACAAGGGAAGAAAAAGGAGAGAGGGAGAAAGAAGGGTGAGGGGAGAGAGAAAGAGAAATAAATAAGTGGTCTTTAGTATGGTGGCTTATACCTAGGAGGTAAAGCAGGAGAATCAGAACTTCAAGATCATCTTTGGCTGCACAGTGAGTTCCAGGCCAGCCTAAGCTACAAGAGGTCCTGTCTGAAAGAGGCCAGTGATAGGTGGAGATTCTGATTCTACTTCAGAGAAAATATAACCTCTTAAGGTTGCTGTGCTAAATTAGAATGCCAAACATGAAATTGTTAATGTGCAGACAGTATTGACTTAGTTCAAATAAGTATGCAAACTGAGGATGAGAGGTCTAAGTCAGCAGAGTAGCATGTCACAGGTTACATGAGCAGAACAAGTTAAGTGGGAGGTACCTGAAACTGGCAGGCTGAGTGTGTGGCGACATCAGTTCCTCTCTGCTAGACCTGCTTTTGTAGCTATTATGTTTGTTCATCATTTCACAGTTCAATTTAACAAATTAAAATCATCAGAGCTGTTACAAAGGCATAATAATTTAAGGCAGAGTTTTTCACTGCTTAAACAACCTGAAAATAAATTAGTTCTTGAAAATAATCATTTGGTTTTTAGAGATTCTTCAATTTATTAAGCCTGTACTCAAATTTCTAGGGGATGTTTATTGTTATCTCCTAGATTATTGTTTAACGTTTGTCATCAATGTTCTAAAGGTCTACGTTTTACCTACTGCTTCATGGATTGGGGAGGAGGGGTCTTTTATTTTATATTTTGAGGCAGGGTCTCAGTGTAGCTCCAGCTGGCCTGAAACTTGCTACGTAGACCAGTCTAGGTTGGTCTCCATCTCATAAAGATTCACCTGCCTTTGCCTTAGATAAAGAGGACAAATTACCTTTCAGATACCATGTGGTGAGTAAGAACAGGTGGTGCTAAAAGCTAAGTCTAATTACTTATGTGAAGCTGCCATTGATATCAAAAGCACCTACAGTATTCTAAAATCCATTAAAAGGCAGATTTTTCAGTTTTGTCTTTTCAAAACAAATTATGTTAGAGGTCATTATCACATTCTGAATTACTTGTCCAAAAATCTGTTTTAGTGGTGGTGCCCATATATGTCCCACCATTCAGCATATGGAGAAGGTATTAATGTTAGTTTGGTTTTTGACTGGCTGGTTGGCTGGCTAGCTGGCTGGTTGGTGTGGGTTTTGGTTTTTGAGACAGGGCCCCATGTATCATAGGTTGGCCTCAAACTTGATATGGAATGCCCTATCCTCATGCTTCCATCTCCCAAGTACTGGGATTACAGGTGTAATCCATGACAGGTGACAGCATGCCTGGATGGTTTTATGTATTTTATGTATTACAGGTGACAGCATGCCTGGATGGTTTTATGTATTTTATTCATTTATATGTAATACAACCTGCCATGAGGAGTGAAGAGACAGGTTCATTTCAGTAAAATATTGAATTAATAACTTTTTGAGCATAATAAAATTTTATCACTTCCCACCCATTAGAATAGCTGAAGCAAAGCAGAAGTGCAGTGAAACTGGCACCTCATTGTTGGAAGATGGGATAGAAAGTGATACAACTCTGTTGGAAACTGGACTGGCAGTTCCTCAGGTGGTTAATAGGGTTTCCATATGATCAAAGAAATGAAATCATATTTTCACAAAACTTGCATGCTGATGTTCATAGTGGCATTGCTCATAGACGCCAAAAACCAGAAATAGCTCCATTAACCCCTGAGTGCATAAACAAATGTGCTGTATCCATACAGTGGCATAGTATTCAGCCATCAAAAAAATGAAGGATTGATTCACACTAGAACATGAAAGAACCTTGAAAACATCAGAATGCCACAAATTTATGATTAGAGACAAAAAGTAGATCAATGGTTACCAAACAGAAAGGAATAGAGAATGACTGCTAATAAACAAAAGGTGATCTTAAGGCAATAAAAATATTTTTAAGTGGAGGCTAGGGGTAGATAGCTGTCTGGAAAGTGCTTACTATTGCAAACATGCCCCAGGTCAGATCCCCCAGAACCCACATAAAAATAAGCTGGACATGAAGGCACACACTTACAATCCCAGCACTGGGAGTGGGGAGGGGACAGAGTCAAAAGGATCCTGACCCTGAGGGTCAATGGCCAGCCAGTGTAGCCTAATCAGCAAGCCCCAGGTACCAGTGAGAGACCCTTATGTCCTACAGGGCTTTTACTGAGTTCATTATTGTATGACTGTATTAATTCAACTGTGAACCTAAAAATTTACAGCCACCTTTGAAAGAGATGTATCCTTGCTCTGGAATGTTGTACTGAATATGTTAAATCTGTAATGAAATACTTCTAAAAAAAAAAAAAAACTTGAAAATAAAATTTGAAAATTAAAAAAAAAGATAAATTCTTTGACAATTTATTCAATAAATATTTATATATCTTAAAAAAAAAAAAACAAGATCGATGACTTCCAAAATGTATAACTCCCAAGAAAAAAATGCCTGAGGTTGACTTCTGGCCTCCACCTGCATGCACACACATGCACCTTCACACATCTGAGAACATACAGATATAAACACACAAAAATGTTTTTTAGATATCAGTGCTGTCCAACTTCATGAATTTATTAAATATTCCTGCATAGCCTACTTTAAAATGGTAGATTTTATGGTATATGAATTGTATCTCAAAACAAAATTTTACCAACATACGCTTTTCCATAATGAAAATTTGTGTGTCTGTATATACATGTTCATGTTTTTATACGCATGTGTGTGTGTGTGTGTGTGTGTGTGTGTGTGTATAGGTCAGAGGTCAATGTCAGATGTCTTTCTCAGTTGTTCTTCATTTTATTTTTTGGGACAAGGTCTCTCCTGAACTTAAAGCTTGCTGGTTTAGCTAGACTGCCTGACAAGCAATTACCAGAGATCTCCCGTCTCTGCCTCCCAAGCACTGACTGGGATTACAAATGTGGACTGCCACTCCGAGTGTTTTATGTGGATGCTGGGGATCTGAACTCAGGAGTTCTCCTGGTAGTGCAGCAAGCATTTTACTGACTGAACTATCTCTCCAACCTCTACAAAAGTATTTTTAATGAAATTGTTAGAACTTTTCTTAAATATAATTAATGCTAGGATTCCCCCCCCAAAAAAAATCAAAGCTGACTTTCTCCTTAAAGCCTTCCTGTTAAAGGATATGTGGTATGCATTTCATGGAGCTTCTTGTAGCCTGAATGTGAGAAATGGACACCAATGATAGGAAAGAGTGCCAAGTATAAAGTAGTCTTTAGCATATAATTAAGGCCTGCACTCTTGGATCATATTTTCGAGGTTATTGTCACTTGCAGGGGCAAAATTACAAAACTTTTCAAACTTTATCTTATAAAAATATCAGTTAAGAATATCACACAAATAAGTCGATGTAACCCCAGGACTCAGCGGACTGAGACAGAAAAATTGCAACTTCGAAGTCAGCGTAAAACCCAGTTTCACAAAACCAAAAACTAAAAACACAAAAATGGTTACCATATAATAGTGAAAGGAGCATTGCTGTTGACTAAAACTGGATTTGAAACCCAACCTGAAATGTACTAGCAGCTGTTTTTGTTAAGGAAATTATTTAATACACCTGAGTACTCTGGGTTCTCCTCTGCGAAATATCCAATAGAGCTGTTGTAAGGGTTTAGTGAGGTTCCATGAGTAAAACAGTTTATCTTTGCTTCCCTACCGTGCTCGTACTTCTGCCTCTCCTGCCTCATGCCTTCTCTTTCCTTACACAAATGCACACGCAAACACAACCCATTAGGTCTCGCCTCTGTACATTCCCATTGAACCTTGAACTTACCCTATTGAAGCACATATCATTCTCCTGAATTTTTTTTTTCTTTTGAGACAGGGTCTCCCTATAGCCCCAGCTGGCCTGGAACTCGCTATGTAGATCAAACTGGCCTTGAACCTACAAAGATCCGCCTGCCTCTGCCTCCCAAGTGCTGGGACTAAAGGCGTGCACCACCATGCCCCGTCCTCTTCTGCATTCTCATACTTATTTTCTGTCTTGCCCAAAAAAGTGTAAGTTCTTAATGAGGAAAAAAGCCTCACTTTTGTCTAGTGTGTGCCCATTCTCTCTCATAGTGACTAGTTCAGTATTTGAATAAATGAATTTTAACAGCATACCTATCATTTTACTGGATTTATGATAGCGCAGTGAAAAAATACAGTGTATTTCTGTTTTGCTTTCTCTTAAAACACAACCTGGAATATTTTCAAACTTACAGTATGTGTTGATTTGTATGTGAAGTAGAAATGCTTTTAGTTACATTTATGGAATGAAAAGAATGTTCCTGTCTGGACTGTTAAATATACTGTTTGAAAACTGATACATTGGTTTCTTGTAATATCCAAATAGATATTTTCAGTAACTTTAAAATTTGTTTTAAAAATCTCATGAATTTGCAGGCTAATGCACACATTTCTGACATTATTTCCCTTCTGACATTATTTAGATTTTGAATGAAATAGAAAACTTGAAAACAATGACACCTATGAAAAGTAAATTATTTCAAGCAATATAACTAAAACTTACTCTGTTTTAAATCTTAAGTGTCTTAAAACATAATTATAATAATATAGGCACTGATTATTTTGGATTAAAGAAACGAAAAAGTTAATTCCCCCATATGTGCTCTAAGGACTTAGACATTTCCACATATATGCCTATCTAAATGGTAAAAGTTTTGCTGAGTAAATCTAAATTGTAAACTACATAATATGATGATATAGAAAAAGCAGAAATAAGTGTGTTTCCCTAAGCCACTCTGCTTATTTGAGGGCCCACCACCATCTTCTTTCAGGTACAGAGAGCTACAACTTAGTACAGAAAGCAAAGTAGCCGAATTTCTCCACCAGAGTAAGTTGAAGTCCTTTGAAAGTGACCGCGTTCAACTTCTACAAGAGGAAACTGCAAGAAATCTCTCACAGTGCCAGTTGGAATGTGAAAAATATCAGAAGAAATTGGAGGTATTTTTACACAATTTTCCTTTGACATTAGCATAGCATGTAAGCAATATTTATATAGAACCTTGTTTCTCCTAAAGGGCTTACCTTGTCCTCCAAGAAAATACGGAAATCTAGAAATGATGGCTCATACCTCTAATCCCAGCACTCAAGAGGCTGAGGCAGGATGATCACAAGTTTGAGGCCATCCTGGTCCACAAAGTCAGCCAGAGCTACGTAGTGAGACCCTGATTTGAAAAAAAAAAGAAAAAATATATAGATGAGTATCAGAACAATGTGTGCCCCAAATGACTGAAATTATTTAAAAAAACAAAAATTGAGGAAAGATTGTGTCCATACTAGCAACCAAAACATACAATTATTTGGAATATTTTTAAAAAGAAAAAAGATCTATGCCAAGAAAACTGTAGAATAGTACTGACATAGTTTTAAACTTTTACTTTTGTGTGCACATACATGCCACTGCATGTATTTGGAGATCAGATGACCATTTAGGAGTCAGTTCTTGCCTTCTACCATGTGGATATTAGTGACTGTACTCAAGTCAGCAAGCTTGGCAACAAGGACCTTTACCCTCTGAACCATCTTGTCAGCCCAAATTCTAGTATATTTTTTAATTCAACAGAGTAATTCTGTGGTTCAAGTGAAAGAATAGAGACAAGTCACTATTTTAAAAGATTTTTCAAAAGAAGCGAAATATTTATTACATTTTCCTTTATTTACTTTAATGTGTAAGAGTGTTTTGCCTGAACGTATATAAGTGTACCATGGGCTTGCAAACCCACAGAGGCCAGAAGAGAGTGTTGAATCTCCTGGAACTGGAGTTAGAGACAGTTGTTGGCCACCATGTGGGTGCTGGAAACCAAACCTGGGTCCTCTGCAAGAGGAGCGAGTGCTTGTAACTGCTGAGCCATCTCTCCAAACTCATAAAAAATTTAAATATATAATATTTGGGGCTCCAGCTAAACTTTTACATTTCCATTTTTTTCTCTACACATGAATGTAGTTATGGAAATATATAATTATAGAGTATTATAAAACTTGCAAATTAAAGAAACTGAAATTTATTTATTTATTTATTTATTTAGGTCTTTATGAGACAGGGTCTCCCTGTAGATCCCGCTGTCCTGGAACTCACTTTGTAGACCAGGCTGGTCTTGAACTCACAGAGATCTTCCTGCCTCTGCCTCCTGAGTGCTGGGACTAAAGGCATGCGCCACCACACCTGGCCAAGAAACTGAAAATTAGTCAACTAAAAGTCTTTCCCATGTGGCTGGAGAGGTGACTCAGCGTTTAAGCTAGGTGGCTGCTCTTACAGAGGACTGGGATTCAATTCCTAGCACCTATATGGTGACTAACAGTCATCTGTAACTCCAGTTTCAAAGGAATCCAGCTCCCTCTTCTGACATCTGCGGGCATTGCATGACATAGGTGCACTTAACACACATTCAGGCAATATATTCATACACATGTAAAAGAAAAGTAATAAATTATTTTAAAAAGCCTTTCTTGGGCTAGGCATGGTGGCACCTTTAATCCCAACACTGTCCTGTTCTGGGGTGAGGTGAATGGATGGGAGAAGCTATTTATATTTAAAAGTGAAGAAGTATTTTTCTTTCTGTACTTCTGGAAAAAAACACAGTTCACAAAACACTATTTTCACACAAACAGTATGTATGGCATACAGTACTGATGTCTTGCAAATGATTCACTTTTATTATCTTTAGCTAGTTTCAAACCAAACCTAAAGAGTACAGCTTACAGTTAAAACCATTCTCCTGTAGACTTAACCACTCAGTCTATGAATGCAGATAGTGAATAATCACTACAGTTATCCATATAAAGGTTTTTATATGGAGGAACACCTTTGAAAAAAGTGTCATTCTAAAAACTAAGATTTGAGAGGAATTTCTTTGCATGTTCTGCCCCTTTAAACTTGGGCTTAAGTAACAGGGACTGTTCATTTATCATTGTAAAACCAATGCTTAACACACTGCTTCTCTTGTGGTTGGTGCTTGATAAGCATTTAATGAACAAATGACTAGATGAATGAATGGTTTGATAAAGGTTCATATAATACCGTTTTAAAGATTTTTTTTTAATCTGGAAAGTGCTAAAATTATTTTTATTTATAATGAACTCATACACTTATGGAAGATAAAATTTATGAACATTTCTACAACTTTTGCTCAATATTCTCATTAATTTGTTACTTGGGATGACTTATTTTTGCCTAATTATTAATTGGCCAAGCCTATAAAATCCTATGCGCCATCTTCATATATTTGTCTCTTTTTAAAGCAGTTATTGACCTGTAGTTTTATATTATCATTTGGTTAATACATGTATTACTTAAAGGAAAAAAATCCACTTTGATTGTTTAATATTTAATGAATTTCTAAAAGTAATTGACCTATTTTATACCTTCATAAACTATGTTAATCAAACTATGTTGATTATCCCAAAGAATCTTTACTGTTCTACCATAGGCTAAATAATCACATTCATTGACTTTACAGAAACAATAATAATTTATTCCTAGTCATCACCCAGACCATCCTGTAGAAAAAGAGAGTTCTTTACCATGAGCTTTTGGGAGGTACGCTCAACTCTGAAGTTTCTGGTGACCTCTCCATGTTAATGAAAAAAAAATTTTTTTTAAATTCTCAATGCCTTTAATCCCAGCACTCAGGAGGCAGAAGCAGGCAGATCTCTGTGAATTCAAGGCCAGCCTGGTCTACATAGCAAGTTCCAGGCCAGGTGCGGAGACCCTGTCTCAAAAAAATAAGAAAACCAATACTTTATGAGATACCTAGTCTTCAACATTTTAATTTTTTTGTTTGTTTGTTTCACAAAACATAATTTTTTTTTAATTAAAAGAAGCATTTCATCACAACAGCATTAACCTATTCAATAACATTTTTCTGAGCTAGGGTACAACTCTTTCAAAATTGGCTGTACAAGG